GGCGCCGAGCCATTGTTAAGAGTTTTTATAATGAAAGGGCAATTTAAACAATAGGTAGAATGAAAATAGTAGGTAATAATAAAAATGGGAAGTACAGTGTGAGGTCAAAGCTAAAGCATTGTAGGAATTACCTGTCCGGCAGCTGCTTTGCTGAGTCTCTTGGAAGTTGTGAAGAAGAGGTATCTGAGATGTACCAGAGCCAGAGATCAGGCCTTCATCTCATTTAGAGGTGTGGTCTTGCTCTCTTGCAAAGGCTGGAGTGCAGTGTCGCAGTCATAACACACTATAGCATCAAACTCCTAGGTTCAAGTGATCGTCCTGCCTTAGCTTCCCAGGTAGGACTACAGGGATGTGCCACCATTCCTGGCTAATGAAAACTGAGGGGGTTTTTTTTGTTTGTTTGTTTTTTAATGAGAGTCTTCCTTTTGTCGCCCCCAGTAGAGTGCTATGGTGTCATAGCTCACAGCAATCTCAGACTCCCAAGTAGCTGGGCCTACAGGCACCTGCCACAACCCCCATCTATTTTTAGAGGAGGGGTTTCACTCTAACTCAGGCTGGTCTCAAACTTGTGAGCTCAGGTGATCTGCCCTCCTTGGCCTCTCAAGAGTGCTGGGATTATAGGTGTCAGCCACTGTGTCTGGCCGAAAACTGAGATTTTAAGCTACTTGGTACACACAAAATTAGGTTTCCTTTCTCTTAACTCCTAATTTGAAGGCTGATATTTAAAATTAAATGAAAATTTACTCAACTGTGTCATATATCCTTATAAATGAACATTACTGAATGTTTGCCTTTAACTACAGTTCTAAGCCCTCTTTGTAATGATTTATTTACTTTTCACAAAATACCTCTATGAGTAACATGCTATTATCCCCTCATTGACAGATAAGGAAAATGAGGATGTAGAGTAACTTATCACAGGTCGGATGCAGCTGAGCCTACACTTATAAGTGTGATACTGTCCTGCTTCTCTCTTGCTAATGCAGGCTGATGTTAAGAGCTTTCCAAAGGGGAAAAGTTTATATTATTCATTAGACTGATTTTATGAATCATCACAATTGGAGTTCCAACACTTGGTTTTGTAGTAGTTTTTGTAGCTTGCTGATTTCTTCCTTCTGTTCTACCTTTGTTCGGTCAGGTTTGCCTTTTCACCATTGTCTGAGGAAGAGGAAGATGATGAACAGAAGGAACCTATGCTGAAGGAAAGCTTTGGTAGTGATCAAGTTCACCTTTATTTGTGCTTTAAATATTTTTTATATGAATACGCTATTTATTATTTTATAACTATTGTTCCTTAACTTGGTATGAGGTGAAGTTAGGATTAAGAGAAAATAAGGATGTGAATCTTAAAATGAAGCCATGGTAAATTACTGTAAATGTTCAGTTTATTTGCTAGAAGTGAGCTGAAAATTTAGTTTTGAGCTTCTCAGTATAAATGTGAAAGTGGAGAAACATCTGTGGTGTTAAGTCAAAAGTGTCACTCAGCTGAAATAAGCTTTGAATCAGTTTTTTCAGTCATTGCTGGTCTGTAGACAAAGTTATCCAATCTAAATTTTTTATTCTTCAGAAGGAATGAAAATGAGAAGTACCAAACAAGAGCCCAATGGAAACAGTAAAGTAAACAAAGCAGTAAGTGTGACCTTTTTTCCTTTTTGTTTTGTTCTTCATCCTGTTTTCCAGTCCTTGGTGGAACTCAACTGTTAACACACAGGCCTTAATGATTTTTGCACATACATTATGATTAAGTTTGCTTTATAAAT